CCTGGAGTTTGGAATGGCACGGTGCTGTGGAAACGGCGAAGGAACAGCAAGTGGCCTCAGGGTGTGACGTGAAGGTAGAATCTCTAGGACTTGCGAGTGGCTTAGATGTGGCAGGAGAGAGAGACAGAAGAATCAGGGATGCCGAGTTGCTGGTTTCTCCTGTAGGGGTGTTTTTTTGTTTGGTTTGGTTTGGTTTTTTTTTTTTTTTTTTTTTTTGAGACAAGAGTCTTACTCTGTTGCCCAGGCTGGAGTGCAGTGGCAGAATCTTGGCTCACTGCAACCTCCACCTTCCAGGTTCAAGCAGTTCTCATGCCTCAGCCTCCTGAGTAGCTGGGATTACAGGCGTGTGCCACAACGGCTAATTGTTATAATTTTATTAGAGGCGGGGTTTCACCATGTTGGCCAGGCTGGTCTTGAACTCCTGGCCTCAAGCGATCTGCCTGCCTCAGCCTCCCAAAGTGTTGGAATTACAGGTGTGAGCCACCATGCCCAGCCCTCGTGTAGAGATATTTGACCATATTTTCTAAACAAAAATAAAGATCTTTCTCCCAGCAACAAGATGGAACTTTGAAATTAACAATTCCTGAAAATCTGAGGACATATAGGACCAATACACCTGTTCCTTAGTAGCTTATCAATTCTCCCAGAATATTCTTCTGTGTCTACTTTCTTTCCTTTTTTTTTTTTTTTTTTTTTTTTTTTTTAAGAGACAGGGTCTTGCTCTGTTGCCCATCATAGTTTACTACAACCTCAAACTTCTGGCCTCAAGCAGTCTTCCCCACCTCAGCCTCCTGAGTAGCTGGGACTACAGGTGCATGCCATCACGCCCAGCTAATTGATTTTTTATAGAGACAGGGTCTCGCTATGTCGCAGAGGCTGGTCTTGAACTCCTGGGCTCAAGCGATCCTCCCTCCTTGGCGTCCTAAAGTGCTGGGATTATAAGCATGAGCCGCTGCACCCAACCGTCTATTATACTTTTTTCCAAAATATCTTAAAGATTCCCAGATATGTAGAGAATGAATAATGGGAGAGAATGAATAACTGATAAGCATCATTTTAGCTCCTGACCTCCCATCGTCCCTCCACCCTCTTTCTGTAAGCGGGCATGGCTTCTCAGTAATGAAATGGGCTGCTTTGAGCCTCGGCTCCTCTCTGAAAGAGTGCTAACAGGCCGTGAAATAGCTGAGAGGCACGACTGGAGGAGGCAGCAGGAAAGCTCCCATGCTTCCCGGGTGCCTGCAGGAGTCAAGACTCACAGGCTGTCCCCGGCTTGTGTTCATGTTAAGTCCTTGTATCTCACAAGCCCTAAAGGGGTAGGTGGGTGGATCTGGAGAGAAAGATGCAAAGTCATCAAAGGGAGCGCCCCTGGGTCTGCTTCTGGCTCTTTATAGAAACACAGTCCAGGGCCAGCCTGGTGACTCATGCCTGTAATCCCAGTGCTTTGGGAGGCCAACGCAGGAGGATCGCTTAAGGCCAAGAGTTTGACACCACCATCAGCAACATAGCTATCTCTACAAAAAGTTTTAAAATTAGAGAGGTGTGGTGGTGAGCACCTATAGTCCCAGCTACTGAGGAGACTGAGGGAGGAGGATCACTTGAACCCAGGAAGTTGAGGCTGCAGTGAGCTATGATTGTGTCACTGCACTCCAGCCTGGGCAACAGAGCAAGACCCTGTCTCTAAAGAAAAAGAAAAAAAGAATGAAACACAGTCCAAAAAATAACTCGATTCTATAGACGATGGCACAACCAATATTTGTTTTCATGTGTCAGAGGCTTGTGTCAAACAGGGACAATAAAACAAGTTAAAAGCAGAGAAAATGGCCAGGTGCAATGACTCACATCTGTAATTCCAGCACTGTGGGAGACTGAGGCAGGCGGATTACCTGAGGTCAGGAGTTCGAGACCAGCCTGGCCAAAATGGTGAAACCCCATCTCTACTAAAAATACAAAAAAATAGTTGGGCGTGGTGGTAGGCGCCTGTAGTCCCAGCTACTTGGCAGGCTGATGCGGGAGAATCACTTGAACCTAGGAGGTGGAGGTAGCACTGAGCTGAGATTGTGCCACTGCACTCCAGCCTAGGCAACAAGAGTGAAATTTCCATCTTAAAAAAAAAAAAAAAAAAAGCAGGGAAAATGCCAGAAATCTCTAGACTCTGTGGTCTGTCTTGGTGACGTCCCCTCCCAGGGTAACTGCATCCTTTAAAAAGACCCAGGGAGGCCAGGCACGGTGGCTCACGTCTGTAATCCCAGCACTTTGGGAGGCTGAGGTGGGTGGATTATTTGAGATCAGGAGTTCGAGACCAGCCTGGCCAACATGGTGAAGCCTTGTCTCTACTAAAAATACAAAAATTAACTTGGCGTCTTTGTTGTGCACCTGTAGTCCCAGCTACTTGGGAGGCTGAGGCAGGGGAGTTGCCTGAACCCAGGAGGCAGAGGTTGCAGTGAGCCGAGCTAGAGCCACTGCACTCCAGCCTGGCAACACAGTAAGACTCCGTCTCAAATAAAATAAAATAAAATAAAATAAAATAAAATAAAATAAAAATAAAAAGACTCAGGGAGCAGTCAGTGCTGTCCTGGAGTAATGGAGCTCCACGGTAGAAACACCTAGAAACACCTTTCCTCCCATCCCTTCATTCACTCTCTGGTGGCTCCTCTCCTCCTTCCATCACGACTATTCGGGCTGAACTTGCTTTCACATTGGCTTCTCCTGTTCCCACACTGACATGGTGGCTTTGTTCTGTGTTGCCTTGGCTGGGCTCACCTGTACTTCCCAGGATGCCCTTCCCTGTGTTTCTGGCAAGGGCGGCCACAAGAGAAGCACGTGTGAAGATTCTGGAGCATGGAATTGAAGCAGCAGCCCTTCCAAGGCTCACAGACATCAAGGCATATCTGCTGGCTCCTCTTGTTGGTTTGAGGCGGGAGCCAGGATCTGCAAAAGCTGCACGTTTCCCTGGACCCTCCAGCTGCTCCAGCTCCCGGGCCAGGTGTGCATGTTCATCTCCACAACAAAGGGCCGCAGCTTCCTCAGAATACCCACACCGGTAATACCAGAGGCTACAACAACAGTGGCTTAGTGTGGGCTGCTAGAACAAATTACTGTAGACTGGGTGGCTTAAACAACACAGACTACTTCTTTTTTTTTTTTTTTTTTTTTTTTTTTTCTGAGACAGGGTCTCACTCTGTCACTCAGGCTGGAGTGTGGCACCATCATGGCTCACTGCAGCCTCGACTTCGTGGGCTCAAGTGACCCTCCTCAGCTTCCCAAGTAGCTGAGACTACAGGTGGGCACCACCATACTCAGCTAATTTTTGTATTTTTTGTAGAGATGGGTTTTGCCATGCTGCCCAGGCTGGTCTCAAACTCCTGGGGTCAAGCAATCCACCTGCCTCCGCCTCCCAAAGTGCTAGCATTACATGCCAGAAACATCTTTCTCACAGTTCTGGAGGCTTGCAAGTCTAAGATCAGGATGCTGGCATGGGCGGGCTCTGGTGAGGGCTCTCTTCTAAGTTTGCAGACAGCCACCTTCTCATTGAGTCTTCACAGTAGAGAACACAGAGAGAAAAAGCAAGCTCTCTCTTCCTCCTCCACCTCCTTCTTCTTCTTCCTATCTTCTTCTCTCTTTTCATTCTCCTTCTTCCTTCTTCATTCTCTTTCTCCTTCTTCCTTCTTCCTTCACCTTCTTCTTTCTTGTTTTTTGAGACAGGGTCTTGCTCTGTTGCCCAGATTGGAGTGCAGTGGCATGATCTTGGCTCACTGCAACCTCTTACTCCTGGGCTCAAGCAATCCTCCCACCTCAGCCTTCCAAGTAGCTAAGACTACAGGTGTGCACCAGCATGCTTGGCTAATTTTTGTGTGTGTTTTTTATAGAGACAGGCACTATGTTGCCTAGGCTGGTATCAAACTCCTGGGCTCAAGGAATCCGACTGCCTCAACTTCCCAAATCACTGGGATAACACGCATAAGCCACTGCACCCAGCCTCATTTTCTTCTTACAAGGGCACTACTCCCCTCAAGAGGGCTCCACTCTCATGACCTAATCACTTCCCAAATGTCTTATTGACAAATACCATCCCATTGGAGTTTAGAGTTTCAGCATATGAATTTTGACATAAACTTTCAGTCCATAGTGAACATCCACAGGCTTCTGCCAGTCCTCCTGGTGTTCCAGCAAGTTCTTGCACTGCCTGACTTGGCATCCAGTGTATAATAAAGAATTTGACTGGCCTTTACCTCTGGTTTCTAGGAATAAGACTCTAAATCCTTGGAATTTCTCATGTCATAGGAGTGTATTTGTTCTTCTTGAGCCTCTTGGACCACACCTGAGTTAATGCTAAGAGATAAGATGACTCAGAATGGGGGCTGGTCACTAATAAGACCAACTCCATGATGAGAAGGGTTGGAACTTTGAGTCAACCTGCCCTTTGGGGAGGGGATGGAGATGGAGATTGAGTTCAATCACATGGCAAGTGACTCAATCAATCATGCCTACATAAGGAAATCCAATAAAAACTCTGCACACTGAAGCTCAGTGGTGCTTCCTGGTTGGTGAACACATAAATGTGCCCAGAGCGGCTGTGTACCCCAAATCCATGGGGAGAGGCATGGAAGCCCTGAATTTGAGACTCTCCCAAACCTTGCCCTATGTGTCTCTTCATCTGGCTGGTTCTGATTTGCATCCTTACAATTAAAACAGTCGTCAGAAGTATGGTGCTTTTTTTAGGTTCTGTGAACTGTTCTAATGAATTAGTGAATATAAAAGGGGTTGTGGGAACCTCTCCTAAGCTTTGTAGCCAGTTGGTCAGAAGAGCAGGTGGCCCTGAGGACCCCACTGTGGCTAGTATTTGAAGTAGGGCAGTCTTCTTGGCAACCACACCCTTAAAATTGTGGAATCTGACACCAACTTCAAATGGCTAGTGTTAGAATCAAATTTCTGTATACTAGTTGGTGTCTGAATAACATTCCTCTTCTCTTTCCAAATGCCTGCCCTGAGGACTTCAGGCTCCAGCATCAGGAGCAAAGACAGCAGCTTTACAGAGACTGCTAACCAGCTCCCACAATCATGTAAAGTCAAATCTCTATAACACACACACGTAAGTATATGTGCACAGGTATGTATGGTGGCCCAGCCTCTCTGATTGAATGCTGACACATACACATGCCACATCAATTAGAGTCTCTCTGCCCTCTCTACTTAGTGTATTTCTCACTATCTACTCAAGCGCCCTGACCTAGTCATTTATTACACACATTACACACCTGCCATTTGAGAGTCACCTGGGCGACAGAGAGGGAATGATGCCATTCAGTTCTACACATGCTGAGTGCTGCAAAGGAAGAACAAACCACTGGCACATCTGGACAGGCTTGGAGGAAATCTAGCATTTCCCTGGCTTTGGAAGCTTAGGGGAGATTTCTATGGGCTGGAGATCAGGTGAGGACTTGGCAGGAACCTTTCCATTCTGAGAATTTTTCCAACGCTTATGTCCAAACCATACAACCCTGGGATTGTATGCAGTTTTCTTCCTCTTGCTTGCTTGATTTCCCATTGCTTTTTTTTTTTTTTTTTTTTTTTGAGGCAGAGTCTCACTCCGTGACCCAGGCTGGAGTGCACTGACATGACCTCGGGTCACTGCAACCTCTGCATCCTGGATTCAAGGGATTCTCGTGTTTCAGCCTCCCAAGTAGCTGGGATTACAGACATGCACCACCATGCACAGCTAACTTTTGTATTTTTAGTAGAGAAAGGGCTTCACCATGTTGCCCAGGCTGGTCTTGAACTCCTGACCTCAGGTGATCCATCCACTTCGACCTACCAAAGTGCTGGGATTACAGGTGTGAGACACCATGCTCAGCCCCCATTGCTTTTATGTATCTGTCTCTCCTCACTAAGTTGTCACAGCAATAATAACAGCTGCCATTGGGAAATGCACTCTGAGTCCAGCACTTACCCTATATTATCTTTAAAGCTTACAATTCACGTGGTGGCATTATTGTTTCCATTTTACAGATGGGAAGACTGAGGCTTATAAAGTCCCCTGTCTTGGGTAGAGGACCACGCAAATGAATCAGTAGTAGAGCTGGGATTTGAACTCACATTCTCTCTGGTCTAAAGTCCAGGCTGTGGCTTCCCCTGAGCTCCTTCAGCGAAGGAAGACACCACTGCCATCCTTCTGTGCAGCAATGCACGTGGCAAAGATCGCTGCTCTGTGTATCTGTTGGATTTGCTTCCTCCTCTGTCACCCATTAACTGGCTCCTTTTCTTGCAGGCGACAAGGAAGCAGAGGGAAGAAAGGCTTCCCTTACTTGTCCTTGCTTTAGGCAGATCACTGGATATTTTTAGCAGCCTAGGAAGCCTCTGAGTAACAAGGGTTCAGGTTTTGAACTTGCCTGGTCAGCCCTGCCTCCTGATTCCTCTCGAAAAAGGTTTACGGTGGACTCTCAGCAGCTTTGCTGATGCAGCTAGTAATGTTTATAACCACAATCAAGCACTCCAAGAGCCCCGGCACTGATTTCTTACCCATCTCTATCCTGTAACAGAGGATTTTTCAATCGAGTAGGTTTGCTTCACTCGTTTTAAAATAGCTCCAGCCCAGCTGAGGATCGCACGGGGCCTCGCACGGGGATTTGTACTTATAGTCATGGAAATACATTTATTTTACTTTCCTCTTTCTCTCTCTTTGAGGGATTTTAATCTATCACGCAGGAGTATTCCTCGCATGGCAGGAAAAAGCCTTGCTTTGCACTGAAGACAAAGAACTGCATGTCGTGTTTACTGATAGAGAAGAGCTCCACTCGGCTTCACCCATGGGCATCTCAGGATTAGATAATTAGGGAGCTCCTTAGTGCTTACCCTGGGGGTGTCAGCTGGAAATCTACTGTCACAATGGTGATCTTCCTGCAATTTAAATGCTGGATGTGGGGTTGGCAGAGGGAAGGCGTGTTAGAGGGGTGTCACCTTGCTAGGTTTAGTGCAGCAGAAAAGAGGCAGCATGTCTTGGGTCGACTTGAGCCTGATAGACAACATGAGGTCACAACCTACCCCGATTTATCAACAGGACAACTAGCCTGCAGATATCCACTCTAAAGGGCTGGGAGGGACAGGAAAGCCACGCCTAGGTGGACCCTGCTCAGGATGAAAGGGAGAAAGCCAGATTGAGGTCAGTGATGACCTAACTTCAGAGGCATCATGCTCTCTCATCCTCCACTGTCCCACCTTCAGGGGACCTGCAGCCAGGGACCCAGGGCCTTTGAGCCTGCACAGCTGGACTAAAAATCTAGAAAGCCTATTTGTTTCTCTTTTTTAATTTTTATTTTTTAGTTAGAGACAGCATCTCACTCTGTTGCTCACGCGAGAGGGCAGTGGCACAGTTACAGTTCACTGAAGACTTGAACTCCTGGGCTCAAGCAATCCTCCCACCTTGGCCTCCAAAAGTGCTGGGATTACAAGCATGTTTGTTTTTTTCTCTTTTCTTCCCCTTCCCTTTCCTCCTTTCCTTTGTTCCTCCCTTTACTCCCTCACTTCTTCCTTCCCTCCCTTCCACGGAGGTACTCAGCTTTATTGACCAATCCCTGTTGGGTATTTAGCTCGTTTCTAGTGTTTGGCTACTACAATTTCTGCTTTAATGAAGAAGCTTATATGCAGTTATTTTGCACCTGTCCCAGTGTATCTGTTGGATGAAGTTCTAACAGTGGAATTGCTTGGGGAAAGGGGGTGTCTGTTTTCTGTGGCTGTTGTTAACCAAGGACCACAAACAAAGTGGCCCAAGACAACACACATTGTTCTCTCACAGTCCTGGAGGTCAGAAGTCTAAAAGCAATTTCACTGGGCTAAAATCAAGGTGTGGACAGGGCTGGTTCCTCCCACGGGCTCTAAGGAAAGATCTGTTTCCTTGTCTTTTTCAGCTTCTAGGGTTGCTTCGATTCCTTGGCTTGTGGGCCCTTCCTTCATTTTCAAAGGACTTCCCTGTACCTCTGCTCGGTCATCACATCACCTTTCCTCTCTGACCTCCCGCCTCCCTCTTACAAGGACCCTTGTGATGACATCAGACCCACTGGGCCAACCTAGAATAATCTTCCATGTCAAGATTCTTGCTTTAATCACATCTGCCAGGTCCTTTTTGTCACTTAGGTAACACTCACGCGTTACAGGGATTAGAATGTGGACACCATGATTCAGCTTGCCTCAAAGAGTAGGCCCTTTAATACTTTTGAGAAACTGTACATTGCCCTTCATAGAATTTATTACAATTTACCTCCCCACCATCAATATCAAGGCACCTGCATTTCCCATACTTTACCGATACATCTCTATCAAACCAATTATTTGCAAATTTAATGATAAAAAAGTATGTTTTTCTTTTCTCTTCTTCTTTCTTTCTCCTTTCTTTCTTTCTTTCTCCTTTCTTTCTTTCCCTTCTTTCTTTCTTTCTCTTTCTTTCTTTCTTTCTTTTTCTTTCTTTCTTTCTCTCTTTCTCTCTCTCTTTTCTTTTCTTTCTTTTTCTCTCTCTATCACCCAGGTTGGAGGGTAGTAGCATGACCTCAGCTCACTGCAACCTCTACCTCCAGGTTCAAGTGATTCTTCTGCCTCAGCCTCCCAAGTAGTGGGGATTACAGGCATGCGTCACCACACCTGGCTAATTTTTGTATTTTTAGTAGAGATGAGGTTTCACTATGTTGGCCAGGCTGGTCTTGAACTCTTGACCTCAAGTGATCCACCTGCCTCAGCCTCTCAGAGTGCTGGGATTACAGGCATGAGCTACCATGCCCAGCCTCAGTGTGATTTTAATGAGCATTTCTCTTATGAGTGAGATTGAGGATGTGTTTACATATTTAAGAGCCATTTATATTTTATTTGGGGTACACTATCTTTTCACACCATTTTTCTTTGGGCTGTTGGGCTTTTCCTTTGATTTGTTGTTCTTTAGAGGAAAATGAGCCCTTTGAGTTGAATTGCTAAGGGCGTTATTACTAACCCCTTTTTATAGATGAAGAAATGGAGGCTCAGAGACCTTAAAGAACCTGCTCAAGGCTACAAGCTAATGTCTGGCAGCGTTGGGATTGAACCATCCTTGATTTTGAATGTCATCCCTGATATTGTCTCATAGGCTGGTGGATAAGTATAGATCATTTCTGTCAAACCACACAGTAGGGATAACAATGAACCTCTTAGATTGGACCATGCTTTTGCAATTTTCCAGTGGTTTTCATTTTTATTGTCTTATTTTTACTCTCCTATGCCTTATTAGCCCACTTTATACATGGGAAACTGAGGCTTAGGGAGACTTAGGGGCCTGGTCACAGTCACATGACTGATGAATGTGAAAACCTAAGATCAGAGTCTGCCACTAGCCCAGCACTTTTTTCCATATAGGGAACGTTGAGGCCTTTCATGTACCACTTAAAAATTTTTACCAAGGCCAGGTGTGGTGGCTCACACCTGTAATCCCAGCACTTTGGGCGGCCAAGGTGGGTGGGTTACTTGAGGTCAGGAGTTCGAGACCAGCCTGGCCAACATGGTGAAACCCCGTCTCTACTAAAAACACACAAAAAATTAGCCAGGTGTGGTGGCACACACCTGTAATTCCAGTTACTCAGGAGGCTGAGGCAGGAGAACTGCTGGAACCCAGGAGGAGGAGGGTGCAATGAACCGAGATCATACCACTGCACTCCAGTCTAGGAAACACAGTAAGACTCCATCTCAAAAAAAAAAAAAAAAAAAAAAGCTGGGTTGTGATGGGAGGTTCCTGTAATCCCAGCTACTTGGGAGGCTGAGGCAGGAGAATCGCTTGAACCCAGGAGTTGGGGGTTGCAGTGAGCAGAGATCATGCCACTGCACTCCAGCCTGGGCAACAGAGCAAGACTCCGTCTCAAAAAAAAAAAAAAATTTTTTTTTACCCTATCCATGTACACCAATACTTTGATTTATTTAGTATAATTTTTTAATTAACTCATGTTCTAACAACTTAGCCTCATTCTAATCACTAACAGTGTTAAAATTACAAGTTTGATGTCCTCCTTCTAATGTTCCCTAATTCCATATATCTAAGAAATTCCACATATCACCTAAAACCCTCTTCTTGTTTCCCATCAGTGGTATAAGTACTGCATATTTTGTAAGCATTTAATTAAGTTTGTTAGGCCTGATGGAAAATGACAGGCCCTCATAATAGATGTCCTTTATCAAGCACCGATTACATGCCAGGAGTTTCATTGAATCCTTACAGCAACTTTAAAGGGACGGATATAGGTCTTCCCTGTTCATAGAGCAGAAAACAGGGGTTCAGAGAGGTTAGGCGGCTTACCCAAGGTCACACAGCCAGGAAGTGGCAGGGTTGGGACTTGTGCTCCAGTCCTGCATTGCCCCAGGTCCCCCCAGCCTGGCACTACATTTGCTGATTGCAGAACTGATCGCCAGTTGGTGATTACCAGCCAGGACTATAACCATCCATGTAATAAAGGCATTTAGCTATTTCACTGCATGCGGAGTTAGGAATTCTCAGGCAGACTGCGGTTTGAGGAAAGGGCCTTTTCTGTTTCACCTTTAATTGTTTTAGCTGCACAACACTTCTGTGAGGTGGGCAAATATAATTAACCCATTTACAAACGAGGAAAGTGGAGAGGTTAGAATGATTCCCTAAAGTCACTCAGTAAGTGAGCGGCACAGCCAAGAATAATAAATAATATTATTTCAGGAGACGCAAACTCAGTGAACCTAAAGGCTTCCTGGTGCTCAGACCATCAGAAAGTGCTTCCGGGCCCTGACCCTTCCAAATCAACACTTCCCCACCACAGCAGAGGTCTAGGTACAACATTTTAAGTCTGGGAGTTACTCAGACTGTCCATGTGAGTTCAGACCACCCCCAACATTTTCTCCCCATTATTCTTTTCAGATCATAGCTTGATTAATGTTTCCATCAAGAGAATGGCACTACATATTTTGTAGAGGCAAAAATAATACAGATTTTGCCTAATGGAATGCTTCCAAGGTTACTGTGAGGATGAATGGACTCGCATTCAAAAAGCACTTCGGAATCCTAGACAGGCTGAAGTGAAGGTAAGTCTATTGTTCTTCATCCTAACAATAGTCATTGATTGGGGGAGCTTCCCTTGATAACCTTTTAATTTTGCTATGAAAAACTGGTGGAACAGAAGGTTGCTAGTTCCTGCTGGTGAAAAGACAATTTATACCCTCTGGTCTTCAGCCATTCCCTTCAACCCTTCTCAGCCTCATGTTTTCAGATCCTAGTGACCAATATGACTTCCACAACCAGAGTGGAACAACCAGAGTTTCTTTGAGCTTCTTTACAGTCTGCAAGCTGCCAGAAGGATCCTCTGAGACACAGCTGGTTTGATTTTCTTTGAGGACTATTCAATACTTTAAAACTTGGAGGGGCCAGGTGTGGTGGCTCATGCCTGTAATTCTGACACTTTGGGAGGTTGAGGTGGGAGGATTATTGGAAACCAGGAGTCTGAGACCAGCCTGGGCAACATAGGGAGACCCTGTCTCTACAAAAAATAAAATATGTAGCCCGGTGTGGTGGCACACACCTAGAGTCTCAGTTACTGGGGAGGCTGAGACAGGAGGAGCCCTTGAGCCCAGGAGTTGGAGGCTGCAGTGAGCTATGATAGCACCACTGCTCTTCAACCTGGACAACAACAGAGTGAGACCTCGTCTCTAAAACATAAATAAATAAATAAATAGATTAATTAAATAAATAAAAATAAAATAAAACTTAGAGGGCTGGTTTCTGGAGATGTCCATTTTATAGAGAGGGAAACGGAAGGGAGACTTGGGGGCACCTCTGGTCCCAGGTCTCCTGACCTTGTTGTTTTCACTGTGTCCTACCTGCCAAAGAAAATATCAGTGTCTCAATCCACCCGTGACCTGGTCACTCACTCCCAGAGTGGAAACCTGCCAACCCTGACGGTGGTGGCCCCCTAGAGCCACCCTCCCCCGGAGCCTCCTTCTTGGACGTGCTTGCTGTTAAAGAGGGTTGGTGACAATCATCTCTTAATTGCAATACCTCCTGTTGGCCTGAATAATAGTTGAAATCTTGTGGGCGCGTTGGCTGGGCATTAGGGGGTGTTTCTGTTGTGCCTCGAGCAAAGGAAGGCTTTATTCACACCAGCATCTGTTCCAGAGAGGTCTGAAAAGCTCAATTATTCAGCAGAGCATGTTGGAAAAATAAAACCCCGAACTGATGTGTTTGAGGTCATCCCTTGGCTCATTTGAATGTGGGGAGCCAGTACTCCTGACCCTTTACTTCCATTGGCCTCGACTGTTACTTGAAACTCTCTAATCTTAACTCTGATTCTATAAATACCTCCAGTTTTTAAAAATGTAGATATATCTTTTTTTTTTTTTTTTTAGCAAAAAGCTTGAAACCAAGAGACTAGTTTGCCTCCCTATCTTTGCCTCGATTTAATTTCAATTAATAAAGTTGGATTCAAAGTGGGGAGCCTGATTCGGACTTGCAGGGGAGAGGGGGCTTACTCTGTGCCCAGCAGAGCCAGGCGGCGTTCTGGCCCTTTTCTGTTTCCTCTGACCAGCAGCTGATTCCTTTGATATCTCATCTTGCGTCCTGTCCAAAATAAACGATGGGCGCGATGCAGGTTCCAGTAGCATGGAGAGACCGTCTGCTGGTACCATCTGATTCCTCAGCAGGCAGAGCCACACAGTCCTGGGAGGCAGCGGCCACCAGGGCGAATTTATAGGCTGCAGGTGGGGGATGCTACCTTGCCCTTCACACAGGAGAACAGCTTAGGGAGGGGGCATGCTTTGTACCATCTCGGATTCCCATCCCCAGAACTCATGCCAGGAATTCACCCGGACTGCAGAACCTACAGGAAGCTGCCTGTGTGACAGATTACTACCAACTTGCTGTGTTACCAACTTGCTGTGTGACCTTGGGAAAGGCACTTTCCCTCTCTGGGCCTAATTTGTCTTATATGTGAACAGAAAGGACATCATCATCATCATCACCATCATCATCGTAGTTAATGAGTGCATCCTAGAGGATCTCCTAGTATGCTTGCCAAAGAACCTCTGTGGCTGATATTATCATCCTCATTTTACAAACAAGGAGTTGCAACCCAGAGAGGTTAAGTCACTTGCCTGCATTACAGAGCTAATAAGTGACATCGCTTCAATTCAGGCTCAGTCCCTCTGACTTCCGATCCTAAGCTTTTAGCCTCCTACATTATAACATTGACACTTTCTGCACGTTCTCTCTGTGAATCCTCAAAGCAACCATATAAGGTCAATGCCATCGTTACCCACATTTTACAGGTGACCAATGGTCTCATAACATTTTTTCCACCTGTGGAAAAAAAAGCTATTATTATTTTTCTTTCTTTTTCTTTTTTATTTGTTTTTATTTATTTATTTGTTTGTTTATTTGTTTATTTGAGATGAAGTCTTGCTCTGTTGCCCAGGCTGGAGTGCAGTGGCATGATCTCGGCTCACTGCAACCTCCACCTTCTGGGTTCAAGCAATTATCCTGTCTCAGCCTCCCAAGTAGCTGGGATTACAGGCACCCACCACCATGCCTGGCTAACTTTTGTATTTTTAGTAGAGACGGGGTTTCACCATGTTGCCCAGGCTGGTCTCGAACTCCTGACCTCAGGTGGTCCACCCACCTTGGCCTCCCAAAGTGCTGGGATTACAGGCATGAGCCACTGTGCCCGGCAAAAGCTATTATTTTTAAGTTCAGGAGAACAGTGGCAGAGACGTAAGATTAGGAAGGTCAGTGGTCAGCCTTCCTGTTGTCTGAGGGAAAATGACGGAGCACACAGGATGAAGAGTAGATGAAAAGCGAGGACGTGATCCTGCAGAGTGCAAACTCCTTGGCCAGGCCCGCAAAGCCCTTTCCAAGTTGCCTCTTGCGCCTCTCCCATATCAGAACGGCCTTTAATTGCTGCAAGCCTAGGGGGTAGGCACTGTTCCCGTGAGCCTTTCACAAAGGCACAGCGGCAGCAGCTAACGAGGTACCCCAGTTTGCAGAGCTCTTATCTGGAGCTGCAGGACTTGAACTTGAGCCTGTCTGAGCCCAAAGCCCTAGCTCTCGATCCCTTCGCCATCCATCCTGCCTCCTGGCACTCACCCTGACCTTTTGCTCTGGGCCACTTGGGACCTCCCTGTTCTACAAACACCTGTGCCTTCTGCTGTCCTGATTTTTCTGTCCAGCACACCCCTTCTCCCTTGTCTATTGGTCACATTCCTTTATTGTCATTTGATCAGGGCCAGTTCAGGGATCACTTCTAAAAAAGTTTTTCTTATATATGCCTGTAGTCCTAGCTACTCGGGAGGCTGAGGCGAGAGGATCACCTGAGGTGAGAAGTTGGAGGCTGCATTGAGCTGTGATCACAATACGGCACTCCAGTCTGGGCAAAAAAGAGAGATCGTATCTCTAAAAAAAAAAAAAAGAAAGAAAGAAAGAAAGAGTTTTTTCCTAATGCCTCAGGCAGAAGTCACCTCTCCCTCTGTGTCTCCAAGCTACGGAAACGACTGTTGGATGACAGTGGTGGTGATCGTCATCACTGTTACTGTTATAAATTGTGTGCAGGACGTAGTGCTCGGCGTTGACACAGACCCCATTCCACCCATTCCCATCTACCCTTCATACAAAGTGGGTGCTCTGACGATCTCCAGCTCACTGACAAGGACGCAGTTTCAGAGATGCTAAGTACCTTTCCAAGGGCCCTTCAGCTAGAAAATGCAGGGCTGTGCTGTCATCAGCAGGAGGAGGTGTGAGGACAGAGGCAAGAGGTTGGAGTAATGCAAGGGAGAGGTCAGGAGCCAAAGAATGCTGGTGACCTCTAGAAAAGAACCTCTAGAAGCCGGAAAAGGAAAGGGAGGCCAGGTGCAGTGGCTCATGCCTGTAATTCCAGCACTTTGGGAGGCTGAGGTAGGCGGATTACTTGAGGTCAGTAATTCGAGACCAGCCTAGCCAACATGGCGAAACCCTGCCTCAACTAAAAAAAAAAAAAGTACAAAAATTAACCAAGCATGGTGGCATGTGCTTGTAATCCCAGCTACTCGGGAGGCTGAGGCACAAGAATCGCTTGAACCCGGGAGGTGGAGGTTGCAGTGACAGAGGGAGACTCTGTCTCAGAAAAAAAAAAAGAAAAGAAAAGAAAAGAAAAAAAAAAAAAGGAAAAAAAAGGGGCTCTCATTGTGTCATCAGCACCATCCCTGGGCCTGGCATACAGAAGGTCCCAGCCCATGCTTGTTCAGTGGACACGCAGGCTGGGCATTATCGATGCGCATACAGGACTATCAAAAGATTTCAGGACTGGGGGAGGTGGCTCACACCTGTAATCCCAGCACTTTGAGGGGCTGAGGTGGACAGATCACTTGAGGCCAGGAGTTCGAGACCAGCCTGGTCAACATGGTGAATCCCCATCTCTACTAAAAATAGAGTGGGTGTGGTGACATGCCTGTAATCTCAGCTACTTGGGAGGCTGAGGCAGAAGAATCACTTGAACCCAGGAGGCAGAAGCTGCAGTAAGCAGAGATCGTGCCACTGCACTCTAGCCTGTCAACAGAACAAGGCTCTGTCTCAAAAAAAAAAAAAAAAAAAAAAAAAAGATTTCAGTTGTCGGGCACGGTGGCTCATGCCTGTAATCCCAGCACTTTGGGAGGCTGAGGTAGGAGGATGGCTTGAGCCCAGGAATTTGAGGTGGCAGTGAATTATGATCACACCACTGTGTCCGACCCTGGTTAACAGAGCAAAAGCCCCGTCTCAAAAAAAAAAAAAAAAAAAATTGGATCTCAAGCCCCCGTCCTGGAATGTTAGCTTGTAACCCCAAATCTCCCAGCTCTCAGCCTGGCTTTTCTGACCATCCCTCCAGGTCAGCAGGACCGTCACCCCAGCTCATGCTACACATCCTATTCCAATGAATGGCTCTTTTCTGTCTGGATTGTTGTTTCCAATTATTTGTCCATCTCTATGGAAACATTTCTTAAAAATACTGCACATGAACTTGAATTTTTGACCGGCAATGTCTCTGGAACAGGTCTGTGAGCACGGACCCAGTTTACATTGAGGGAGG